GCATAATACAATCACGAAATATGAATTACGATGATATAAAACGTCAATGGTTCTACCCTCCCTGAAATAACACAATTAATTAAATCAATATTATTCGAAATAATAAAATGTAAAACATTAATTCTCTTTACTCAATGTACACGTCATATCTATAAATAGGGTAAATGGATAAAGGCATAATACAATTTTTCATAATAATTGTTATTATCTTAGTACCCCATAAATATACACATATCATACACCTATATTTATATATACAATTACTATGAAATTGATGTTTAAAGGCATGGTATTTTTTTTTTTTACAAATAACAAATATAAACAAGTTTACAATTTAAAAAATCAAAAACAGTATTCAATAGAAAAAAAAAAATATTGAAAATACTGTTCAAATACTTTTAAAATAAAAGTTTTAAAAAGTTTTCAATACTTTTACTCAAATACCTTACAATACTAGTCAGGATATACGTTGTGACTTTTTGTGTAAAAAAATATATTATATATTATTATAATAATATTATTATATATAATATATATTATTTATTTCCTGTATCTCGTTTATTTCAACTGGTTTATCTTTCAATTTCAAACGCTGAAGTTGTTAGTATGCTTATCATTTCCAATTACTAATTATAAGGGATAAAAGAAGTCGACAAAATATTGTGGTAAGAAGTATGAACGTACTATTTCCTTGCTCTTTTTATGTTCACCTGTATGTAACCTGTACTTAAGTAAGATTGCCTGAGAATCTTTATATTTTGTCATATAAAAGAACAAAAAAAAAAAAAAAAAAAAAGAACGTGTACAAACAAATAATATACAGGAAAATAGAAAAAACCTAAGTATTTTAGTAAAAATGTCTGTAAGTTATCAATAATCTTTTATTTAGGACATTACAATATAATATGATATAATTAATTAAATTAATCGAATTGTATGTATGTATGAATTTACTATAGGTCAGTAACGGTGAGTCATTATAGCTAGTATTAATAATATTTATCTATACAAATACCTATTATAATAATGATGTTTTAGCTTATAATTCTTAATAAAGTACTAAAAAATATATATCTTTTCCCAGTTTTTCATCGTACATATTTTTATATTATTTTATAAGAATAATACGTTTCACAATAATACGTCCGTTAGAATTTAAATGATTTATTAATATTAAATTTTTTTAATATTATGAAAAATGACAATTCATTAAATTCTAATGAACTAATGACTTTATATCAAACAGCCATGCAACTTAACATAACTAAGTTTGTGATAATTAATTTTAATTATTTACTTTACCTATTTATTACAATATCTAAAAAGTCAAAATAGTTCTAATATTAAAAATATTAAGTAGTATTTTATCCTTACTTTAATTGTCGTTCTTAAAATTATATTTATATATTCATATACGTAATATAAACGTAATAATTAGTTTATTGATTTAAAATTTTTTCTTTAGTAAAATTTTGCTGTATAAAATTATATATTTTAGTAAAATAATATTGTTATAAATTAAGAGTCAACACTAATTAATCTTATTTTATAGTATGGTTTATGACGTGCCACAAAATAAGTTGTACCAAACAAGATAGTTGTATTTTAATAAATCAACATAATTTGTAATATTATTATAACTGGTTATATTTTCATAATATATTTTTAAACATATCAAATTTCTTGTTTGTACCTATATTACATTTAATATAAAATAAGAATAAATTAATAAAATAACTTTTTTTTATCGATAAAGAAGTGAACTGAATCTATTGCTTTTAGAGTACATTATATTTAGAAATAATGGTGTGTTTGTTAGTACTATCTAATCCCTGGAACCACTTATCCAATCGTTGCCACACCTTATACATGTGTTTTTTTAGACTCTGATAGTGTTATAGCTTTGTTTCAAACCTATATATATATATATATATAACTTGGGGTAGCTTACACAGAAATACTATTTTGTTTATATCATTTAGTATATACTATATAATATAAGCGAAAAAGTATAATATATAAAACATGTGTATAGTAAATAAGGCTGCTATTAGTTACAAAAATAGAAGAAACTTTTATATTATCAGTATTATATCATGTATATAAATTAATATTTTGTTTATAGCGTATATTCTCAAAAACCACTCAAAATGTCAAAGATTAATATCAGAAAAATTTATCAAACCACGTTCAAATACATGTCAAATGCTATATTTAATCCACGGTAGGTGGATTTTTTTTATTTTATGTATTAAAGTAAGGAAATTAGTGACCTCATACCTCCAGATGATGTTATTGACATATACTGTTTAATTTAATAACATATCAAAACACTCTACGTATGTGTACACACAGTATACTGTCTGTATACATACATACATACATTTATTTAAACGACAGTTTTGTAGAAATACTGTTCGGCGCCAAATTCACATTTCACAAGGGACCGTTTTCTTTAAAGGTTTTACGTGGCGTCCCGTTATGAGAATGCGGTTCGTGTTTCTCTTTTTCTCGAAATGAACGGCGATAATACGTGCATAAACATATATAATAATATCATTGGTAGCAAAACACTACAATTATAATCATTATTGCTGTTACTATTACTTTTATGGTAATAAAGTAATATAAATAATATATGATTATTATCCAGGCAGCATATACTTAAAAAGTGTACAGAGAAAATAAAAACGATAAAAATATCAATATCATTATAAAAATGTATTGATTTTTTCGTTTAATATCCTTATTTTCTTGCTATTTCATCGCCCCGGGAGACTAGACGCGTATCATGCTCTAAGGCCTACAATGTGACTGTACCGCGATAATTTCTATTCAAAAATATTTCTGATACTGAAAATTATACATGATAATATAATGGGGTACCAGAGTCAGGAGTCAATACCTTTTATATACTTTTATAGGACCTTTTTATTAAGAGTTCCTTCTCCCATCTCATAGAATACATTTTAGTGTTGCTCGCTATCAATATTGTGGTTAGTTGGAATTTTTATATCTTTTCTTTTACCACATCATCTCCACAAAATATTATTTAAAATAAAAAAAAATCTGATAAAACACGTAGGTACACGCATAATAATAATAAATTGTCATACCGAGTCTGTGGTAATAAGATATTAAATATTAATATTGTGTGGTTTGCGATTTATTATTCGGAGTATAACCAAAATAGATTAACCTCATGCCGCTAAATCAAATTGCTTGAGAAAATTTCGTATTCAATATTATTTTACATTTATTAATAAAAAAAATTTAAATTTACATACTTTTTATAATATATTATATAGATACCACGAATGGCCAAATGGCCGATCGCTACATTAGTTTGATTCGATCACGACTATCGTTTGGCTTATCTTTTCAGAAAACAACAATTACCTTAACGGTGATAATGAAATAATAAAATAACAGTTAAAATTATTTAACTATTTTAGTTAAGTAGGTAGATAAAATAATAAAGAAAGTGTTTATTATTTTAGATTAGCAACCCTTATAGTAAATACAAAATTAAAAGGAAATGAAAAGTAGGGAATCGGACATTACGAATAAGACTAGGTATATGCACAAATACGATTTACCCTATGAAAGAAGCACAGGTAGGATGAGTTAAGAAAAGTACATTTAAATAGAAAAAGAGTAGACTATTCCCCAGTCATAAACGTGAAAACGTAAAGTGTGAAACTATAGAACTGAAATTTAAAAAAGACTTTATGATTATATAATTATATTATATATATATATATATATATATGATTTATTATATAGAAGGATCAATCATAATGTTATAATACATGAATTTATATCATATTAGTTTTTAATAATCTTTTTTACTGTATAAGTAATTCTTATTTTATTTTCTAATAGAATTTATAAAAATCAGTTTAAAATTTAAATTGTAGAGTTGTAACGATAACATGTTATATATGAGTTATGTAGTAAGTTGATACCTATAACTCGATCAAACAAATATTATTATGTAATAACTAAATAAATCACCATCAGAATTATATAATTTGTTCCAACTTTAAATTTTAAGCTAACTCAATAATACTAGGAACGGATAAAGTTTGTTTTTCTATGTATCATTCAATAAAATTGTACACAAAAGTATTATTTTTTAATTTATTTTAGTGATTTTCTTAAATCTTTTCTCTCTTTTTCAACTATTATTTCTAATATAAAAATAACTTAACTGTAAACAAAAACAAAATAATTGTGTTTCACTTATTTCATTAATATTGCATGTGTCTAAAAAAGTTTTCATATTTTTTAAAACATATTTTTGATGAGCTAAAGAAAATTAATTTACCCAGAATGCAGAAACGAAATTTACATTGACACATTTTATGATTAAAATAATAAAACATACGATCATGCATGTAATACAAGTATAATTGAATTAAAATTGACTTAAATACTTAAGTTTTGAAAGTAATAAAGTATGTAACGTATGTGAATATAAATATGTAAATATTTAATATACATAATATTATTAATAAACAACCATATTAGTGTATTTAACTATATGAAATAATAATTATAAATATAAAATGTAAAACAATTGTTTAAAATTACTTTATTATAGATAATCAATTAAATATATTAAAAAAATAGTTTTTATTATTTAAATTATTTAATTTATTCAAACTATTTGTATTAAAATAAACCTTCGAGAAAGTACCTACATAAAACATTCAGCAAGATTATATCATTTAATAATTATATATTTAAACAAATAATTAGATTTTAATTTTTTGATTTTTGTTATTATCAATTAATCAAATATATATATATATATATATATATATATATATATATATAATAACGTATTTTTATCATATTATTGGTTGTTTAGTAGATGTATAGTTACGCTAATTCGTATGTTTAAGTAAATACACAAATTTTTGACAAACAAAAATAAAAAACCATCATAATATTTACTTTTCCTTTTTTATTTTAGTGTCAAAAAAAAAAAAAAAATGAATTTTGAAAATTACAATGATGATATTGTGTCAGTCGAATTTGACTTCAGGGGGGATGCAGCACCAGAAGCTATGGAGCCTTATCGTAATGATGTGATAAGCGATCATCAACAAAGTATACTAAACGAGTTGAGAATAAATCTTTGTCGTGAAGATTTTATGTACCTAAATAATCATAAAGAAGTGAGCATCGATTATATAATTATTTAGTTTACGTTTACGTATAAATAATAGGTAATCGTATTTATGGATAATAATACATACAGACAGCATTTTGATGATTTTTAATTCTTCCAAAATATGGTAACTTAAATTTAATTTTAATTAACGTATTTATAATTATTTACATTTAAAATACAAGCATAATTATATCATTCATTATAGATTTTAAAGCTACAAATATTATCAATACATTTTTATTCATACATCGTATTTTTTACTATGTTGTTTAACATATCTTCGATGAAACGAATAGGTAGAAGCAATAGTGTCTCTTTTGCTGAATGAAATCTTAAAAAAATCACCAAAGAATCCATATGCATACGCTGTTGATTACTTGAAAAATCCACAGACTGTCAAACTTGTGGCTAACTTCAAGCAGTCCGAGGATTTTCAATATGAGAACATTTTAAAAAAGGATTACCAACAATATGCGACAGCGGCATTGGCAGTAACAATAGCTGATACTAAACAGGTTGATTCGATGGTCACTAAGTACGAACAAATCGAGGTTTCGGAAGACGGTGAGACAGATGTGATAGCGGACAAATATTTAATTTATTGACAGGGGATGAAGAAATCTATGCGGTGGTGAAAGAAGAAGCAGAGATGATGATTTCCCAAAAAGAGTAACGAACGTGTTTATTTGCTAGCCTCTTGTTATTTAATAATTGACAGCCACTAAAATATAAATATAGGATGAGAAAAGCCAAATGTTTTTAATATTTGATTCAAAACATAGCGTATTTTAATTTGAAAAAATATTTTATCTTGTTTATTCATCTATACTTGACAAATTAAAATAGTGAATAACAGTATCAATACATTTATGTATATGAAACAGAGTACCGTTTAGAAATTTCTATTAAATATAGTTATACATTAACTATAGAATAATACAATAAAAAATGCATAACAGTATTCTATTTTATTTTTATTTTTATTATTAGAATTATAATCTAAGTTTAAAAATAATTTTTATAGGTCGTTACTTGTTAGATTTTTGAACTACCAAAGTTACAAGTAATATACGTATACGTATTTTTTTAGTGTTAGCGTTTCATATTTGCTTGGATAATTTTGTAATACGAGTATATCAATTAAATCTATATTAAATAAAACATTTTTGTATAATTTAATGAAATTCTTCATTATTATATATTGTTACAAAATTAAATAAATATATTATTAGACTTTTAGTTACATTATTTGTATAAACACACGAGTCTTTTAAAAAATTATTTTTTTTTTTAGAAATTTTGGAATAATAAAAATAAAATGCAATGATTAATAACAGCATTTTTTTTTTTTTTTTTTTTTTTGGTTAGGTTTATTAATATAATAATAATAAAAAACATGCTTCAATTTCTAAACTGTAATATTATTAATATTTACTTATATGAAAACTTATCAAACTTCTTAATATCACAATTTAATTATAATACGGTAAATTAATTTACTTATAGTATCTATAACATATAGACTGATATATTTACTGAAAGAAAAGAAGTTGCACATTGTTTATGGATATTAGAGTCATAGGTAATGCGACTAAAATAGACAAAAAGCTAATTAAACCGCAAGACTCAGTAAATCTAAGTCTTGTTGAACTATAGCCAATTAATGATCAATTCGAAGACCAAATAGAAATATCGAGTACTAAAGTTAATAGTGTTATTAACTAATTGCTATTGTATATAAGTCGTTCATCAGCCGTTAAAGTTTGATAACACGAGGAAGTTTGTGCGGTCACCAGGCATCATTCAATTTAGTGAAATATTGATTTATTTCCCTCTAACAAATACGCTATATATTATATTCAATAATAAATAACAGAAACTGATACGAGGCAGTAGCGGATATAATTTTTAACCAATTTTGGCAGATGTCCGAATTTTGTTTTCAAATCATAATTATATGTGACTATCACCGCACATTTTACATAATTATTTTGTAATAACATCCTAAAATAAACCGTAACCACTAACCAGCGATGTAATTATTGTTTCTATTAACGTGACAGGATTAAATAAATAATAACATTGGTATAAAATATTGAGTAACTTAAGTATACATTGGCGGGATTTACACAAAATTTCTATCTTACACCACTTTACGGCGATAACACGTTTTACGATCGTAGACGTATCGAGTTTCAAATACTGAAATATCTATTATATTCATTGGAGTTTTTCAATTAAAAAACTCACAGGATTAGTGAAAACTGAGCAGATCGAAACCCATCGATGTATATTGTATCCACTATAGACAGAAAACAAACAGACTCATGTGTTCGATTATCACCGGATATCGAGTTTCATCCGAGCTCTTTACGTACTCTGCCAACTTTTCACTATATCCCGCAGGCCGTGAAACGAGAATTTTCAATATGTATGATTCTCACACAAAAAAACCTTACCGCATTCGTTTAAAAGCGCACAGTTTGCTTCAATCAACGACCTGGAAAAAATAGTAACGATCGTGTTATACATACTACAGTAATGAATAACTTACTATCAGTGCGTGGTCGCGGTATTATGTATGTAAGCATGTAATCATAGACCAACAAATCATTTTCTTTTGTAAAAATTTAATTCTTTTTTTTTTTTTTTTTTTGTATTTGAGTAAATTCGATATAGGTGTATTTGTTTACGATAAAAATATTTGTATTTTAACCGAGATTGTAATTGTATAGTATTACGTATTATTATGAAAAAAATATGTTGTGACAAAATTGGAATACACTCGGATTTCTGAGAATGTGTGACCGTGCAGTGAATTCGCCAAATAACCTATTTAACTTGATTATCCAACGTAACGTTCGCATTAGGAAACAAAAATATCACAACTACCTAAATCGATTTTGACAAAAAAAGAAACGTACACAATTAACACAAGGTCGTTAAATTATCTATAATTTGTCTAATAGTATTCTCTTTATAAACGTGGAGAAAAAATCATTCAGTATTACAATTTTGACTTTAGGAAACGAAATTTAACAATCATATAAATACATATTTATTACAACGTATACTATACGTCTACTGGCTGTCACTGGACAGCCTCTCTCCTCATATTTTATTATCATTTAAATATACTTCACATCATAGTATAATATCCCATTTGCATATTATACATATGTTACAGATTTTAAATTCTTTATTTTAATAAAAAAAAAAATAAAAATAAATATATACACAACATTCGTTTTTTTTTTTGAAAGATAATTAGTTTTATAATTTCATTATCGAGACCAAAAATATTATGTTTATGAAATTTTTGATTTACTGTTTAATAAATTAATATTTAATTTTAACTAAATAATTTTTGTAAGATATCTATTGTTAGTTGTTAGTATTGTTATAAATCTGTATTATACATTTATAATTATAACAATAAGTTCAATAGGTTCTAGTACATTTTTGATTAAAATATTGAAACTCAACAATTATTGTTCGATTCATTTTTTATTTAAACCGTATGAATGGTTATTATTTGTTTCAATATAAAACAACAATAAAATACTTTGTTTTTTAATTCTTCTTGTAATATAACTGAATATAACTTTATAATATTATTATATATAAGCTACAAATACATTCAATCGAATATAAAGACAGCTCAATAGTGATTATATTTTATATGGGAATATAATAGTATTATGCTTAACATACTGCTTAAAGTTTTAGAATTTTATTCAAATAAATATTTATTGGAACAAATTTTTATTGAAAAAATCACCCATTTATTTTGATGGATATTTTTTATTATTATAATATTATTTTTCTAAATATCGGTTAAAACTTAAGTCAGAGCTTTTAATTAGTTTTTTTTAATTTATCGAAATCAATATTGTTATTTAATCTTCAAGAACATAATGGATCCCACTGAACATGTTTGTACAAGAGCATAATATAAGTGAAATATGTTTAAAAAGAAACATATTTTTAATTTTTAAAATAAAATTATAATAGGTACGTATAATTTTGTATAAAAATAGACATTTTGGAAAGATTTCTGTGTCGTAATGCATTTTTATGTATGGATTTAAATTTAATTTAACTCATTTAAGTATACAAAATAATAATAAAATAGCGTATAATATATTGTTTTAGTATTTTTACACTTTTTAGTAAATTGTAACAGATATAGTTGATTATCAAGGTATCCTAACTCGAATAAATAATTTAAAACATTTATAAAGGTACAATATAAATTATATTTCTTTTAAAAGTCTTGAAAGTAAAATTTTACAGATATGTTGTTTCATTAAAAGAACATAATTTACTAGAAAATAGGCTATAAATACATGACTGTAATCGTATATTATTATTATATAATATTAAGTACACAGGTACATGCTTTTTTCTCTATGGTTGTCGAATTTTACGCACTTAAAATAATAATATGTTTTCGGCACACTACCATCCATAACGATGTCTGTTTGAGAGCATATCTAACGATCATATACCGTGTGTACAGACATTTCTTGGCTGATCTATTTACGTAGGTAAAGGCAATGTTATAAAACTTGATGTGTTTTTTTTTAAAAACGGAGGATTTCTGGCAAACGTTAAAGTATATGTTATGATGTGCTATTACGCGGAAAGAAACCATTTTGTTGATAAAATAACGTGTCAGCAGATAAGTAGATATTTGTCTAAATATATATATATATATATTTAGTACCCCATAATTTATTTGTTTGCTTTTGGTGCTGACCTTAAAAGTATAAGTACTTTGCTCGACTTGCATATACCTGCATATGAACTGTTGAAAGATTCCACTTGTATTTTGTTTGGTGAGGATCTCTTGATATTTGTCTCAGTATAGTTATAGTACAGAACACGATAAATATTTACTTCTGGCCCTTTTTATCTCTAACCATATTAATTTTGTTTACACACTTTCTATATAACTCTCGGTAATTCATTTATTATAAATTATTGTTAAGTAAAATATCAATAGAATATTTTTTTTAAGTTTGCAGTACGCAAATAGTTTATTGTTAAGTTTCCAATAATACGGGCTTAAACGTATGTAAACAAATAGACAAATTGAGTTTACCTAAAGTGTAATTTGTGTAGTGTTTTATCACTAAGGTTTCAAACACTAAACACATCAAAAATTGTTTTAAATTTTACAACAAAAGTCCCAAAATTACTTGAGCATATCACCTTAAAATTATGTCCATATACCTCTATAAATTCGTAAGCAGTCGTTAAAATTATTCCTCGCGGCGCCATTTTCGAATACATATCAGGCTTGTGGTTGTACAGGTCTAGCGATTATATATGTTTGACTCATAAAATATTCATAGAGCGCATATATACCACCACTTCAATACCAAGATCCACTTGACTTGTTGAAAGTTACCCATAGATCATTATTATTTAGTCCAATAATCTTAAACTACAATATTTGAAGATCTACAGAAAATTTTAAATTTAAATCTTAATTTTTTTTTTTTTTTAAATAATAGACAAAATTATAACAGAATTATTTGTTGATTAGAAATAAAGACAAATATTTATACAATTTTTAAATTAAATATATTATATTTTG